GAAGGTCAACATTTCCTGCAACAGCACACTCCTCCTTAGCCCACTGTCAAAACAAGGTGGGCAGTGGTGGGGGGGGCACTGGCATCTAGAGGGTAGAGGCCATCGATGTTGCTAAATATCCTCTAATGCACATGGCAGCCCTCCACAACACAGCATTATCTTGCCCAAAGGTCAAGAGGGCAGGGGTGAGAAAACCCGGGGTTGAGCAGTGAAATGGAATGATCATGAAAAGGACTAGAATGTGCTGTAATACGCGAAAAGAAGAAAAGAAAAAGGGATTCATATCAAGATAGATAAATAGGCACACATGATTTTCGGAAGAATGCATGAAAAAATGAAGGAGACACAAAGACGGGTGAGAGAGAAAATTATTTTTCACCTTTTGATGAACAAAGTTTTGTTTGAATTTTTTGCCATATGCACAGAGTACTTTTTAAAAGACTCAATTCAATTTATTAATGCTCTATTCAGAACATGTTTTTAGAATTTTGGCATCCATATTCTTAAGTGAAAGTGGTCTTTCACGTTTTGCTTTCTTGTAGTATCTTCCTTGAATTTAAGTTAACTGGCATCATAACATGTACTGGATTCCTTTTCACCTTTTAACAGCCTGGAAAAGTTGAACACAGAAATTATCTGCTCTTTAAAATTTTGTGAAAGCAGCAATTAGTCCAGGATTTGGAAGAGCAAATTTAAAGTGTGAACACCTTTGATTCAAAAATCCTACTTCCAGGTGTATTCTCCATAAATACCTGTACTAATGGGCCAAGAGATACATAGAAAGTTGTTCCTGAGGCACTGTATATAATAGAAAAAGAAAATTAAAAATCTAAGTGTCCATTTGTAGAGAAATAGTTAAATGATACTTCTATACCACGAAATAGGAACTGAAATAATCTTTATGTACTGATGAGGAACAAAACCCAGAATATAATCAGGTGGGAAAAGCAAGATGGGTATGGGAGTGTGATGGCACTTGTGCAAAAACACATGTTACATATATGTCTATTTTTAGTTAAATTGATGTAAATGCATCTACAGCACCTTATCACCAAATTGTTAACAGTGGGCATCTGCGAGGAAGATGTGGTACTGGGGAGAGAAGAAGTAGGGATCTTTTGGATACTGTTTTTATGCATATTGGAACATGAGACATGGATTTACTTTCATTATTTCAAACATAATGAAAAAGCAAAAAGTGAACTGAAAGTGAAGAAAGAGAAAAAGCAAGATGAGTCTATGTATTTAAACAATCTTCTCTGAGAAGGAAAAGAAAAAAAAGAAGAGCAGTCCCAAGAGTAAGAAGTAGATTTGAAAAGTCTTTTCCTTTCTATCTTGTTCCTTTTTTTTTTCTCTTTTTTTTTGGTGGGGAGGGGAAGGATTGGAGAATCTGAGGTGGATGACAGGTTGAACAGAAAACAGCCAGAGCTAAGAGGACTAATAGATTTTTCAAGGCTGCAATGTAATTTCCTAATTGCTGCCTCAAATTCACTGGAAACAAAGTAGGGGGTAAATTAGGAACTCACCTGGGACACGGCCATCTGGCTCTGCCCTGACAAAGGATGGAGATCTAGGAAGGCAGAATTAGGAGGGTCGAGATCAGTGCATACAGCCATGAGACCACCATCACCAGCTTAATAACAATCACTCTTGCCCCACAGCGGGGATGATCTGGACACGTGGCCTGGTAGCTCCAGCCTGTTCCCCTGGGACACGGCTAAGATCCTGTGGGTTTTCCACATCAATTTATTTTCTCTTCCTGGACAGATTTATGACTTGTGTTTAAAGACATCTCCTCGGAAGCCATTAACAACCTGACATCTCCTTTCTCTCAGGAATTCTATGCCTGGAAATTTATCGTAAAAAGGCAATCATAAATAAGCACAGGCTACAAGGATGTTAACTGTAGGTGTTTCCACCATTCAACAATTTGGAAGCAACTAAACCTCCAGCAAAGGGGACTCAGATCAAAAATTAGACACACAACATGGGAAATACCACATGGGCTTTAAAAATGCAATGCAATCCTGTTCTCATTTCTTAACGTATTTAAAAGTAGGTTACCAGAAAGCAAGTGTAGTGCGATCCCCTTTGTTAAGCAATATGTATTTATTGAGGAAGAGCAGTCCAGAAGAGCATTTATGAAAACGTTGACACTGCTTACATTCCAGTGGTAACTCCACCTTTCCTCTTTTATTTACTTGCATTTTTTCATTTTTCACAATATCATTTACTAGTAAAATAGAAAGGAGAAATTATTACAAATCACCTATTATCACACTAAGCCCTGGAGGTGATAGACCCTGAGCAAAGTCTGGAGGACAGGGACAGCTTGCTGTGGTTTGGAGGAAGGAGACAAACCAGAGCTGAGCACAGGACAGAAGGGAGGGGCGAGGAGGGAGGAGAGGCGGGGGTAGAGGGAGGTTAACGGCCAGGCATTGGTCACTTCCACATGGAGCTGGAAACCACTGACCTTGCGCCAGGCTCCTTCGGCCCTTCAGTGGGCCACCGCCACCCTGTTCCCGCCCCAATACTTCCTTATTTCCCATTATGTCCATTTGATCGCCATGCTCTCCCTTATTTGGCGGTGTTCAAAACACCGTTTCAGCAAGGAGCTTTTGTTAACCATTGCTACTGTAGCAATCCCTGCCTTAGGATCAGGACAACAGGGCTCAGCAAGATGCAGCTTAATGAGTCACTTCCCAGACCCAGTTACTAGCATCAAAATGAGAGGCAGCAGAGCTAGGTGATGGCCTACCTAGAGACCACGCTGAAAGGCCACAGACACACAGAAACCAAAGACACCTCTTTGGTCATCTAGTCAGGGTAGAGGAGATTCAACAGAAAAGGAAAGAAGCAGCTCTATCCAGAACATGCCATCGTGCGAGTAATATGCTCTGAAGTTTATTTTTTTAATACATAAAGATAACACAAAAGACAAAATAATTGAGTGGGCGGGAAGTATTGACAAGAGGAGGAATCTAACAACAGGCGGAAAAATTCAGATTTGGAAGAACCTCAGAGAAATAAGAAAACAGAAACCTGTGTGAAGTGGACACTGTTTAACCACAAAGTGAGGGCAGACAAGGGCATGGTGGTACTTGGCCTGGTGGAGCTGAAGGTCACTAGCAAAGCTTTTTTGTCCATCCCAACTCCAGTAAACCAGGTAGGATAATTTCCCTGAGGTTAAAGACTCTGCGTTCCAGACTTCGAGGGCCCACAGTATGCCAAGTAAAGAGGAAACATCACCCTTCCATCTGCTTGTCTTCTGATGAACACACAAATGCCCAAGAGATGGGGAAAGTCCCAACAGCTTCCAGAAAGGAGAGGGAGGAGGAAGGAGACAAGGCTGGGCACGTCTCCCTAGCCACCCAGATGCTGGAAGGTGGAGACGGGATCTACAGAACAGCAGTGGCTGCCTCTGTCTGAACCCCAAGAACAAGGGGCTGCAGAGGGGCAGCAGGTGGGGCATCGTGTGGATATCACAGCAGCTCGTTCCATCAGACCCGAATTGTGTCCCCAAGTCTGGGGTTTCTGAGAAGAACTCCTGGGCGCGCCCCCGAGGCCAAGCTCTCCCTGACCCACCAGGTCCCCTTGCCCTGGCCCAACTGGCCCGGCACGGGCTCACCTGGACACCTCCGTGTTGGGCTTTCTCCAGCTGCCATCCTGGCCTCCTCTTCTCCTTGTCCCAACCTGAAGATCCTACCTGGTTGGGCCACGAGGAATCCTGTTAAGGGGAAATGACAGAGGACTTTCTAATTGACACATGAGGCATTCCGGAACCGAGGCCCATCCTTGCAGGGCAGAGATGGTCTGGCCTCGGTGACTGCCCCGTGAGCCCAGCTAGTGGGCCCTCAGTGCAGACCATCCACAGAGAAGGTGAGAGCACAGACATCCCGTGCAGGGTGCAAACGCCATTATGGATTCTTGACCCTGAGCCTGAGGCCCGATTCATTCAGGGCCCAGACGCCCCTGAGCTGCAGCAGCCGACAGACAGGGAGCCCCGGGGGTGCGTTCCAGTCACCCTGTGAAGGGTCCCTCACCCACGGAGACAAGGTGGCTGTAGTTCTCCAGCATGACATCCTTGCAGAGGTTCTTCTGAGTGGCGTCCAGCTGCTGCCACTCCTCCAGGGTGAAGTCCACAAACACATCCCTGAAGGTCAAC